CATAGGTGCTTGTTTAACTGTAAAAGGTGAGGGGGGCCGTTCAATTGACAGGTTGTTGGGGGTTGTTGCCCTGTGGTGGGAGAATGAATACTAGGAGGGTCCTCAGAGGCCATTGGGTTCAGCTGTCTCATTTTGCAGATGGGAAAACTGAGGCCCAGAGTGGAGGGGAGGCTTGCCAGAGCGCCCCATGGGTTGGCAGCTGAGCCAGGGAGGGGATCCCATGGGACACTGTTCTCTGCCTACCCCCCGTCTGAGTTTCCTCAACTATAAAATGCAAATAGTAACAACATGTTTTCAGGCTTTGTGAAGATGAAGGGCACTCTCGGGTGTGAAATGCTCGGGGAGCAGCTAGAGGGTTGTGGAAAGGAAGGTCACGATGCCACCTGGGCACAGGGCGTTATGGTCTCCCTCCAGGGCTGGGCTGGCTGCTTCCCCTACCTACCTGGCCTGCAAGGCTCTGGGCACCTCGGAGGGCGTCAGTCCTGCTTGTCTGTCCCGGTTCCCACTTCTAGAAGCCAGCCTCAGAGAACCAGGAGGCAGGCCTTCCACTGGCTGACAAGGTCCCACAGCCCTCTCCCGAAAAGTGACCGCCTGCGGGCATGGCCCTCCCTAAGCTCTGCTCCTCCGGGGGCGGGGAGGGGGGTGCTGTGCGCTGGTTGGGGCAGGGGGCCGGGTGAGCCCCGTCCCAGGCCTGGATGGAGGAGCCTCCTCCCAGGCCGGGATGGAGGATCCCCTCTCCCAGGCCGGGATGGAGGATTCCCGCTCCCAGGCTGGATGGAGGATCCCCGCTCCCAGGCTGGATGGAGGAGCCCCCTCCCAGGCTGGATGGAGGAGCCCCCTCCCAGGCTGGATGGAGGAGCCCCCTCCCAGGCTGGATGGAGGAGCCCCCTCCCAGGCTGGATGGAGGAGCCCCCTCCCAGGCTGGATGGAGGAGCCCCCTCCCAGGCTGGATGGAGGAGCCCCCTCCCAGGCTGGATGGAGGAGCCCCCTCCCAGGCTGGATGGAGGAGCCCCGCTCCCAGGCTGGATGGAGGAGCCCCCTCCCCTGCCGGCCGAGCAGCCTTTGCTCGTTCTTGGCCCCCCTGTGTCCACTTGCACAGAGGGTGGGAGGGGCCAGAGATGCCCACAGCCCCCTGAGCCGAGGATTCTGGGGTTCCCTTCACTGTCTTCACAGGAGCCAAAAGACAATCTACTCCCGCTTCCAGCTCCCAGCTGCACAGGTGGGCAGGGCTGGTGGGATGGCAGGGGCCCGGCAGAGAGAGGCAGAGTGAAGCAGGGATGCGGGGGGCTCCTCTCCGCTCTTTCCTCCCACCAGCCTTCCGGCTCCAACCTGAGCCGGGGGCGGGGGGCTGTGGGCAGGGCTGTCCTGCAGAGCCGCCAGGAGGGGTCTGCGTCAGGAGGAGTGGGTGTCAGCGTCAGTGGTGAGGTCTGAAAAAGCCTGACTAATGAATAGAATGCTAGATTTCTAATTTATGAAAATAGATATGCAACAAGCAACAAAGGTTTACTGCATAGCACAGGGAACTACGGTCAGTATCTTGTAATGACCTGTATTGGAAAATAATTTCAAAAATAATATATGTGTATATGCACAACTGAATCACACAAAATGAGAATTCTGCTTTTTGAAATTTAGTGACGTTTATCTTTCTGCCAGTTTTTCTAATTGTCCTATGGAAATCTAATAACAATGTATGAGCCACACAATTTTAAATATATTTGTGTAGAATATAAGATTAATATGTTACTATAGTTATAAATGTGTTATATTTAAATTATCAGAGAAATGTTAATATGTCTCACTATGATTATATATATGTGTGTATTTTTTTCTTTTCCCTTTTATTTTTTCTGATTTTTCTTCATGTATCTTTGTTTCTTTATTGTTAGGTGTCTAATGGTTTATGATGTCTATTTTCTTTGTGAATTGTACCTTTCATCATTAAGAATATTCATCTTTGTTTCATTCAAAAATAAAGAAAGAAAAAGAAAACACTTGCTGCAGCTGAGAACAGACCTCCCCAGATCTCAGCAACCCATCTCGCTGGTTAGCGAAGTTCCACGCCGGAGGGAGTAGCGGATGAACGGTCCCCGCTCCCCTGGAGTGCTGGAGACCCCGGACTTCGCAGAAACAGCCCCCGGCGGAAGGTCTGCTCACCGTTGTCTAAGTGCCAGCTCTGCTCTGCGTCTTGTGACCCAGAGTGAAGACACTGTGGCTCCCGCCCTCTTACAGTCCGAGCATCATTTTCTAGGCGGGGTCACCCAGGCCCCACGAGGGGAAGGGGCTGGCCCCAGGTCCGTCAGTGATCCGGAGACGGCCAGGGCTGGTGGGAGCAGAGATAGCAGCCTTGACTCCTGGGGCCCGTGGGTCAGGACCTTGCGGTGGCTATAGCAGGCATGCTAGGTCCTGCTCACACTCGGGGCTCCGTCCATCCCCACCACACCCCCACGAGGTAGGAATTTCTTACCTCCTTTTTACCCTTGGGGGGATGGAGGCACAGAGAAGTTAAATGACTTGCCCAAGGACACACAGCTACTATGTCACAGAGCCAGGACTTGAACTGGACTGCTGGACTCCAACAGCTGCTCCTGACCGAACACATGCAGGTGTGAGGCTGGGGGTGCGGTCTGAAGTGACCTGCACGCCCTGACCTGGGCATGTGCATGCTTCTCCTGCGCCGGGGGAGGAGGACCTCCTCGGTCTCTTTGTCCCAGGATCCCACACGGTCAGCCTTGTATCTTTCCGCACCCGCCCATCCACTGTGCGGACGGGAACGTGAGCTCAGAGACGGCAGGTGACTGGCCCAAGGTCCCACAGCCAGAGTATGGAGTCCCTGGCAGGTGGGGCACCGGGCACTCGACGGTCTAGGGGGTTGGGAGTGTCCTCAGACCCCCCACACCGGCCCCAGGAGATGTCCACGGGGCAGGCCACCCTCCAGGGGGCACAGCAGCAGCAGAGACCAGCTTTTCTCACCCGGCCCAGTCCCAGACACCCATGTCCCACGTGGATTCCCCTCCAACGCTGGTCCCGGGTTTCTTGCCCGGTTGGGGTTGTTGGGGGCCGGAGGCGGGTTTTCCCCAAACGGGCTTTTGCTTTTTGCCTTCACCCGTTTGGGGGTTGCGGCGGAGTTGGGGTTTTTTTTGTCGGAGGTGGTTGGGGTTGGGTTGGGGTTGCCCCCGGGGATTTTTTTTTTTTTGGGGGCTTTCTTTTCTTTTGCCCAAGGTTGGCGGGGCCCTACTGCCAAAAGAACGGATCTGGCTGCCCAGAAACCGGCAGGAGGGAGAGCACGATGGACAGGGAGGGGTGATGGCTCCGCTGACCTCCTCCCACCAGGGAGGAGTCACAGGCCACCACAGCTGAGCCCCTGACCCACTGGGTGACCCTGACCTCCCGGTCTTACCAGGATCAGCTGGGGTGGTGATGGTGACTTTAGCACCAGACACCCCCAGGTTTTCTAAGGAGGAAAACGCCTTGAGGTGGGTAGCGTTTGAGGAAAGGACCAGAAAAGGAAGAGCGGTCATCACCCCAGATGACTGTAACACCCCGGCCCCTCTGGAAGGGTCCCCTGACTCTGTGCCACCTAAATGCGCTTTGGTCAAAATGAACACACAAGCCCCGGACGCCGAGGCAGCAAAGGAGATCCAGCTGCTGGCAACGGCTCGCTGGCCCACCAGTGGCTCCCCCAACTTCATCCTTCATCCCCGTGGCCTGTGTCAATCCCACCCAAAGGGGTCCCACCAGGCTGGGCGTGGCAGGCAGGGGCATCTCCCCCGGAGGAGAAGGGCTGACAGTCGGTCCAGAAGGGACATCACATCCATTTGACCTTCTCTTGCTCCCAAGGCATCGGAGAGGACCCCGTCACGGATAAAACCTCTGACTGTCAGTCATGGGTAAAACAGAGGTCTGCCTGTTAGCTGTGTGACCTTGGGGAAACTGCCTGACCTCTCTCAGCTCATATCTTCATCTATAAAGGGAGGAAAGCTTGCCTTCCTCCCAGCCAGTTATCAACACGAGGGTGGTGCTCGCAAGTAAAGCAAGTGAAGGAGGTGCTCAGTGAACGCGCATTCTCATCATTTCACGGTTGTTTAAAAATGAGCCTCAATCTGTGCAGAATGAAAGGCCATCTCATCTTTCTGTACTGTTTCCACAATATTATGCTGATGGCATCAGGGGATTAAGGGTCTGAATCTAGCATTTTGGTCTAAGTCCTGGCTTCCGGTCCTTGTGTGACCTTGGGGGAGTGATTTTTACCCCCCAGAGCCTGGATTTCCTCCTCTATAGAAGAGGCATGATCATAATGCCACCTCCTCGTGGGGTTTTTGACGCAAGTTTCATGAAATGACGCCTGTGAGTGCTCAGCTCGGGGTCTATCAGTCGGCCAGGCACTCCATCACTGTCTGGGATTCTTGTTCCTGTTATTACTAGACTGGGACCCCACAGGATATGAAGTGAATGGTTTCCTGGACCCCGGCACCCTCAGAGCAACCCTACAAGGCTAGGATTTTCACCTCCATGCAGAAGAGGAAACTGAGGCTCAGCAGGTCTCGGCTCTGGAGGTCAGTAGGGAGCGGGGGCCAGTGAGGGGCAGCGCGGGGCCTGTCTGCTCTCCTGGGGTACAGATGCTGGAAGGCAGAGGACGTCTCTCTCTCCTGCTGCCCGGGTGGGCCCAGCATCCCACCCTCTGGCTCCTGGACACACCAGCCCTCCAGACCCAGAGGGCAGATCCCCTCCTGAGACTTCCCTGGGCGGGCAGAGGAGGGTCCAGGAGCCCCACGGTCACATGACCTTGCGTGACCTCCTCCTCTTGGGGCCTGAGTTTCTCCATCTGAGTGTGACTCACACCGGAAGAGTGAATCCTGACCCCACCGCTGACCTGGATGGGGCTTCAACATATCACTTCCCTCTTCTTAGCTTCTGTGTCTTTGCCTACAAACAGGAGCCAACGGATGGGTGTGATAAGGGGGTGAAAAGTGAAAAAATGAGAGTAAAGCTGTAGTTAATATGATTTAAATGCACTTTTTATAAGTCTCTCTCTCTCTCTGTGTCTGTACGTACCGTTTCAAAACGACAAAGAACATTTACTAAAATGTTCCCAGTAGTGCCCTCTGGACACTGGGCTCACGGCGGATTTTTTTTTTTACTTTCTTTTGTGCATCACTTTTGTAGTTATCCAGTGTTTCTACTAGAGTACATGTCTCTTACCATTAGAAATGGACAATTAAGGGCAGAGATAATAGCTGTCCCTATGGCTCGGGGTGGTCCGAGATCCCCTGCAGACACCACCGAGGTGGCCTGTGAGCCGCCCGTGAGTGAAGTCCCCTCGGTTGTGCTCACACGCCCCTCCTCATGGGCACTGTGGGGGTGACAGGGTGGTTCCCACAGGCTGGGAGCAGAGGGACCCATCACCTCCCAAGGCTCCCTGTGAAGATGTGACCTCATCTTGGCCGAAGACACAAAAGAGACGGAAATTCCTCATCAGTCTAGAAGAAGGAAAACACTCCTTCTTGCTAATTCCACTGCCTCCCTTGCTCCCACCCGACCTTAGGGAGGCCACCTGGTGTCTCCGGCCTCAGTTTCCCAGTTTCTAAAAGGATATTCAACTCTGCCTGCCTCACAGGGGTTTATGAGGAGCCAATGAAAGAATGGATCCGCCTGCGTCTTGCCTCCCCTCCCCCTGGACCACCGGTAAATGGTAGCACCTCAGGTGTTTGGTGCATTTAATGTAGGGCTTTGGTGGAAGATAAATTAGTAAAGGTTTAAAATCACCGTCTCATCCTGCCATCAACAGCCTGAAGGGTCACACGCAGGCGACTCGAGACCCTCCCACCCAGCGCTGATATTTTCAGGCAGCTGGGACCACCTTGGATGCCTTCTGCACTCCAGCCCATCCTACCTTCCTGACTTTCCCTCTGTGGTTCTGCCTTCCAGACATTACCTGAAAGCAAGACAGCATCCCATCTCTGGGCATTTGCTCTTCCCCACATCCCTATCCTCTGCATCTCAAAATATTTAAAGGCTGAGTTTACATGCCACCTCTTCCAGGAAGCCCTCCCTGCTTCAACCAATGGGTCTGAACGTCCCAAGCTTTCTCTGAGTTTCTCTTATTGATCTACTTATGGACCTGTTTTGCCCAGAGCTAAGAGTTCCTTGAGGATAAAGTGCATCCCTTACCTTTCCCCACCCACCAGGGTCCAGCACAGTAGGTCTCAATAAAGCTCAGCCGAAAGAATGGCTGCGGCTCACACTGTTTGAAGGGAGTGTGTGTCTCCTCTCATCAGACACAAGTGGTGAAAGGTACAGAGTGACAGTTGTCTCTAGGAGTGCTTGTCCCACAAAGCCCTTATTAGCTCAGCGAGTAGGGGTGGTTATTCCTTCGCCAGGACACCAGCTTTGAGACAAGTGTTCCCATTACTCATCTCCTGTTTCCACACACGTCAAGGAAGCAGGTCAGCCTCATGACAGGTTGTCAGCGGCGGGGACGAGAAAAAGAAGTCCTGACGTGTTGGTGGCCTGTCGTGTCTGGCGAGATGCCGCTAGCCTGCGAGGCACTAGAGCTCTGGCATCATATTTCAGCCTTGTGGAAACCCTGTGGGCGGGTCAGGGCCAGGCAGGGTGCTTTTGTGTCTGTAAGTGAAGAGGCTGAGGCAAGATGGGATACCAGATCTGCCCTGGGGGCTGGGGTCTTGGTGTTCTGACACACTCAGCCCACTGGGCCGTGCTGCCCACTCACCTCCCGTGGGACGGCCAGCCTCAGAAACGCCAGGCTGGAGACGACAGGCGGGGCTGCTAACCCATTTCACAGATGAGAACACTGAGGGTCTGAGGAGTGACTCAGAGCCTCAGCAGGAGAGTAAGCTGCAGGGAAGGCTGGAGGGGAGAGGTGAGGCGGGCTGCCTTGGAGCTCTGCGTGGCAACGCGAAGCCTCGGGGATCTGGGAAGATGGGCCAGGGTCCTGCAGCAGGTCGTGTAGCGACCTCCAAGGTGGGAAGACAAGTGAGCCCTGGCCTGGCCAGGCGGGCGGCGGTGCCCGCGCTTCTTGCCAGCCTCTCCTGTGTAGCACCTCCTCTGAGGTCAGTGAACTCGGTGAGTGAGGCAGGAAGGGCGGTTCCCCCGTTACAGACAGAAGACCAAGCAGCAGAACCTTGGGTGCTGCCTGCAAAACTGGCCGGTCCACCCAGACCTCGAAAGTCACCACCAGCTCCCACAACCCTTCATGAAAACTGCAAAAGAGATTAAAGAACAGTTCTTTCTCTGGCTTTATACACACAAAAGGACAGCGTCTGTGGGTGGCTCAGAGGTCCTGACCCGTCAAATAGAGATGTGGTTACTTTGGTTCAGCGGTGACCTGGGGTTCTGAACATGGCTGAGGGGGGCCCCGGGCAGGCAGCACGGGGAGTGTGGGTCCCTATCCTTCTCCACGCTCCTTGAGGCTGCTCCTGGGAGCTCAGAGACCTGGTTTCCCCGGGAGGAGGCGGAGGGGCCTTTGGCTGGGGGAGGCGCAGGACACAGGGCCTGTGTGTGGCTCTGCATAGAGGGGAAGCCAGCTGCCAGGCCCAGTGGGGACAGAGCCATGCAGGCCAGCTTGCCCACCTCAAGGTGCTGAAGGTGAGTCAGGACGCTGGAAGGCACGGGGCTCCCGAACGCTGCAGCCCTTGGCCTCAGCTGGCCTGGAGGCTGAGCATTAGAGATGCTCTGGGCTTGGAAGGAACCGCGAAGGTCTTCGAATCCACCCCCCGTTTGATGCCCTCCCCAAAGCACAGCCCTCTGCAGTTGCTTGTTCACCTCCAGTGCCGGGGAACTCAGTCCAGGCCGGGACAGACTGATTTGCACTGGGCTCCGTCCCTTCCACCCCTGGTTGCGGTTCTGACCCCCGAGCAGGAAGACAGCAAGCACGGTCTCCATGGTGACCTGCAGAGGCCTCCCCATCCCCGGAGCCCTTGGCTGAGGTCCCGCATCTCCAGCTCAGCATCCACGCCCCAGCCGGGCCCCCACACCCTCTCTCTCTGGGCCAGAGTCCACCCCACGTTCGGGGCTGGGGTGGCTCCCTGGCCTCCAGTTTTGCGTGGTGAGTGCTGGGGGACCAGCCCTGCACCGCCTCCGTCTGCACCTTCTGCCTCTGTGGGTCTGCTCCAAGGTCCCGCCGCTAAGGTGACGGCCAATCTGTCAGCCAGGCTCAGGGGATGCCAGCCCCGGCCCATCATTGTGCCCTGGGGTCTCGGGCACAAGGAGCTGGGACTGCGGTCATCGTGCTGACCCCCCTTCCGAGCTGGTCTCCCCGAGGACCCGGGCACGGATGGCTGGGCCCCGCCAGCCCTAAGTGTTCGTCTCCACGATGCACTTGAGGAACATGGTGTCGTCCTTCACGTAGGCGTGCTTGGGCGACTGCAGCTTGTTGAGGGGGAAGAAGAGTGGGCAGCCGCTGGCCACGTTGGTTTCACTCTGGGGCCGCTGGAAGGAAGCTGAGTTCAGGTCGGGCCGGAAGGCGTCGATAGCGTGCTCACGGTTGTTCTGGTCCAGCAGCATGAAGGTGACCTGCGGGCAGCGTGGGGGGAGGTCAGGCCCGGGCCTGACCCAGGCGGTCCCTCTGACCCGGAGCTCACACTGCTGTGGCTTTTATTTAGTTCCTCAGTCGTGTCTGACTCTTTTGCAACCCCATGGACGACAGTCAGCCAGGCTCCTCGGTCCAGGGGATTTTCTGGGCCAGAATACTGGAGTGGGGAGCCATTCCCTTCTCCAGCGGATCTTCCCCACCCAGGGGTCGAACCCACCTCTCCTGAAGGTGGATTCTTTACCACTGAGCCACTGGGAAAGCCTGAGCTCACTCTGAGCAGGAGCCAGAGAAAGAAACAAGAGACACGTGTGGCTCCTGGTGAGAGCTGAAAGGAGAAGCGCCTGGTGTGGGGAGCAGGCTCCAGGGGGCTCTGTGATCAGGGCTCAGACGTTCTACTCGACAGGAAGGGGGAGTTCAGATGCCACCGTCAATTGTGGTTGGCTGTTAGGGGCTAAAGGCGAGACAGTCCTGACAAGGAGGCTGGACCCCTTAAGCCAAGGTGCCCCTTCCTGCTTGGAGGGGTCTGACCCTTCAACCGCAGCCGGATCCTCTGCGACAGGCAGAGGGGTAAGAGGAGCCAGGCCTTCCACTGAGCGGGTGTCCATCACATCCTGAAACACGAACCCAGCTTCTGTTCTGCACAGGGGCCCTGTCTGTCCCCGGGAAGCCAGTGATCTTGAAGTGACATATAATCCCCCCTCCGGCCCACACCACTAAAATACCCATCATACCCGCCGCCATGGTTCTCAAACACGGCTGCACTTTAGAATTCCCTGGGAAGGTCTGAAAATTCCCAGTGCCCAGGGCGCAGCATTTACGGTAGTGAGGCCCAGTCACTAACATTTTTAAAACTCCCCCGGAACGTATGGGAACCGGTTTTGACCTCNGCATCAGGACAGGAATCTGTCATTATCATATCAGAGGGTTTAGGAGTGTAGTGTTAGTCGCTCAGTCGTGCCCAGCTCTTTGCGATCTCATGGACTGGGGCCCTTCAGGTTCCTCCGTCCATGGGATTCTACAGGCAAGAATTCTGGAGTGGGTTGCCATGCCCTTCTCCAGGGGATCTTCCCGACCCAGGAACTGAACCCAGGTCTCCCGAATTGCAGGTGGATTCTTGACCATCTGAGCTACAGGGAAGCCCCTTGGGGTATTTACACTGCCCTAAATCCTCTGCTTTCTACCTATTCATCCCTCCTCTCCTCCATGAAACCCTGGCAACCTTTGATTTTCTCACTGTCTTCGCAGTTTGCCTTTTGCAGAATATCATGTAACTGGAATCATACAGTATGTAGCTTCTTCAGATTGGCTTCTTTCACTTAAACATGCATTTAAGGTTCCTCTGTATCTTTTCATGGCTCCCTAGCTTATTTCTTTGGAGTGCTAAATAATACTCTATTGTCTAGATGGACCACAGTTTATCTGTGCATTCACCTTGAAGGACATCTTGGCTGCTTCTAAGTTTTGGCAGTTATGAATAAAGGTGCTACCAATATCTGTCTGCAGGGTTTTGGGGGGACTTAAGTTTTCAGCTCATTTGAGTAAATGCCAAGGAGTGTGATCTCTGGGTCACGTGGTAAGAGTATGTTTACTTTTGTGAGAAACTGCCAAAACTTCATCCAAAGTGGCCGCACCGTTTCATATTCCCACCAGCTCCACATCCTTGCCGACACTTGGTGTTGTCAGTATTGAGGATTTTGGCCATTCTTAAAGGGATATGGTGGCATCTGCCTCCCTGCCTTTTTCTGAGAGTGCTGCTATTGCAGCCTAGACCCATAGCACCTCCTATAGGAAGTTTTCTTTATTCACCCCGCCGTGTGAACTCCCTCTCTACACATCTCCCAGGGCTGCTGGCCCAGGCGTTTTAGCTCCTGGACTCAAGCAAGCAGCAGCCTTGGCTACTAGAGGGGAACTCAGGCTCTTGTTTCACAAGCGGGGAAACTGGTAACACAGAGGGTGAAGGGCTCTCCGAGATCACACAGATGAGTTCAGGCTAAACCAGGGCCAGGACCCAGGTCTCCTCCACCCGAAGCAGCCCCCCATTGCCCGGGCCCGCCCGTACCTTGTTCCTGAAAGGCCACGACAGCAGAGCATCGTATTCCCCTCTCATGATCACGATGAAGAGGGACAGGTGGGTCCTCTTCCCCGTCCCATCCCCGTTCAGGTAGAGCCGCAGGCACAACTTGTATCCATACTTGGCAGTGTAGAAAGCTGAAACGCGGAAGCCAGAGTCATCACCAGGGCAGCTGGCAAGTGCTAGACTTTGCAGATGAGGGAACTGGGGCTGGCCTGGGTCGTGGCCCCAGACTGTGACATCTGGGATTGGAGCTGCTTCTTCACCATAGAGCATCAGGGGCCGTCCCCAGTGGCTCAGTGCTAAAATCTGCCTGCAAGGCAGGAGATGTGGCTTCAAGCCCTGGGTCGGGAAGATCCCCTGGAGAAGGACATGGCAACCCTCTCCAGTGTTCTTGCCTGGGAAATTCTACAGACAGAGGAGCCTGGCGGGCTACAGTCCATGGGGTTACAAAAGAGTTGGACATGACTTAGCGACTCGACGATAAACGAAAACATAAGAGCATTAAACCTTGGGGAACACCTGGCCCGCTGGATGTCAAGGGCCATCAGGATCGCAGACTGCCAGGCCCCAGGGCTGGAGCTTCTGACTCAGCAGTGCGGGGTGAGGACTGAGAATTCACGTTTCTGACAGGGGACAGAGGCGCTGCTGGCCCCACCACTCCCGATTTAACCGATCTGTGTTTTGCAGTCAGGAGCCGGAGCCCAGCAAGGGGAAGTGGCCGGCCCACAAAGTCACAGTGAGCTGGGGTCAGGGCCAGAGTGAAGGGCCCGGCCTCCTAAGTCCCAACACGCAGCTCTTTCTGCGGCCCCAGGCTAAGTGGCTGGGGTCTCCTGGGGGCTGGGAGGGAGTGGGGCGGCTTACAGTTCTGCCGGCCATCCTTGACACAGGCCCCTGGGAGGAACCATCCCCTGGTGGTTAGGTGCAGGGCCCGTAGGCTCTCGCCTGGGCAGCTGAAAGAGCCATCTGACCGTGGGCTCCAGCGGCTGTCCCCGTGGGGGGCCGTCTGGAGGGGCAGCTTGGGGACAGGGTGTGCAGGGCAGGAAGGCGTGGGGCGGGGGCAGGCTGACGGTCTGACTCATCTCTGCCCTCTGTGCTTTGGTAGAACAGGAAGTCAGAGACAATGCCTGCTTTTTCCCTTTGGAAAGCATCCAGGACAAACAGCTTGCGTGTAGAGGGCAAGGCCCCCCCATGAAGGAGCTGCCCCGGTTCCTGAGGCAGGGGCCTGGCTTGGGGGCCCACCTGCCCTGTGGGATGGGGCAGGCTCCCGTGCCCCCTCTTAATCCTAGTGCTGTTGGCCTTGGGTGAGTCAGAGGGGCTGACAGACAGGAAAGGCATGGAGCTGGAGCAGACGTGAGTGGGGTTAAAACTGCCTTTTGCAGAAATCCTCCTTAACAACCCACCCATTTTTCTTAGATGCACACGAGGGAGGCAAGGGGAAAAGCAGAGGTCTGAGCACAAACATGCAGAGCGTTACAGAAGCAGGTCTCAGCTAATGAAGAGAGACGTCAACCGAGTAACTGCCGCCTTTACGCAAGACATTGTGCCAGGTCCCGGGGTCCCAGAAATGAGTAAAAACTGCCCTGATTTACACAATACTCACTCACATGCTCCCCACAACTGTACACAGATGCCTGTGGTTTTACCTAGATCTCCCCTAGTCTGATTTCAGGTCACTGGGTCTCCTATGAAAGCCATCCTCCACTTGCCTCGAGTCTGCACAGACGGGTTCATAGCTCACTCTCTTTCCCAACCGACATCCACACAAACAACTGAGATGACCAGTTCCTAGCTGCAGAATGTAACTGATCTTCTGGGAGGCAGACGGCCAGCCTGGGGCCAACAGCCCTGCTCCACACAGCGGGGCGGGGGGGAGCCTGCCACCTCCACGGGCCCGCCAGGGCCGGGCATCTGAATGGACTCGGGCCTAACTGGACGCAGCATGGCTGTCAGAGCGGACCGCCCCGTACCTCTGCTTGTCTCCTGGGCCCCGTGGGGCCTGCCTCCCCCGCAGGGGCCTGTACCCTTCCCTGCCCCGCTTGCCGTTCCAGGGGAGTTACCTGGGGAGAAGAGGCTGACGGTCCTGCCGCAGGCCGACTCATGACAACGCCGGGAGACGTTGGTGATCTTCCACAGGAAGGTGCCGTCGTAGGAGGCCTCCTCCATCAGGCGCAGGCTCTGCTCCAGCTTGCCCAAGGCCTGGTCCTTCTGGGCCAGGGTCTGCTGCAACTCCAGCACCTGGGGCGGGGAAGCCCATTTAGCCAGAGGCACCAGAACCCAGCCTGAGGGTGAGGGAGCGATGGCGGGATGCAGAGAGAGATACAGCTGTTCCCCAAATGGCCTTCCTGACCTTGCCTCCCTCAGCCGCAGGCATCTCTCTCTGTATATGCTGGCCCTCCGGCCTGGAATTCCTCTTCCTCCCTTCCCCACTGGCCAACTCCTGTGCATCCGTCAGGAATCCGGCTCACATAACCCTTCCTCTGGGAAGTCTTCGACCACTGCCCTAGCTCAGCTGGTTTCCCTCTTCCCTCTCTGTTCTGAGAAGCGTCTGAGATATATATTTTCTGCTTTTCCTACAGGATAGATGGTCTGGGCCCATGCTCATTTTATCTGTGGCCATGTGGCTCAGACGGTAAAGAATGTGCCTGCAACGCAGGAGATGCAGGTTTGATCCTTGGGTTGGGAAGATCCCCTAGAGAAGGGAGTGGCAACCTATGCCAGTATTCTTGTCTGGAGATTCCATGGACAGAGGAGCCTGGCGGGCTACAGTCCATGGGGTTCCAAGGAGTGACTTTCACAAGATTTGCATAGTGCTTGGCATGGAAGAGTTGAGCCACAAAACTTGTCCAGGAACTGAAGACATGGTCACTCTGCCCTTGCGGGGAGTGGGCAGTCACTACCTTCCAACTAGGGCAAGAGTTGCATAAATAAATCCTTTACTCTGTCACTCAAAGCCAGTGTCTGGCTCTTCTGGTAGGTTCCTCCATTGACGTGAAGAAAACACAAATTTATTCTCAGGTATACTCAGGTAGGGAAGTCAGGAATGGAAGTGAGCATCCTTAAAGAAAATCACATCCCTAATTTTACGGATGAAAAAGTTGCAGTCCTGTGACTTGCTCAGATGGACACAGCAAGTGAATGGTGGGCCTGGAACTAAAATCCAGGCCGAGTTCAACCTAAGACGGGGATGTAGTATTGTTGCCCCACAAGAAGCAACACAGCACTGTGACTGGTCACATTAAGAGAAGCATAAGCTCTGCAACAAAGGAGGTTACAGTCTGACTCAACCAAGAACTCTCAGATAAGTGAATTATCTGGTGGTCTGGTACCATCATGCTAAAGGGTGGAATTCTTCAGAGACTGAGCTGGAATACATGAAGCAATGGGCTCTGATGAAGTGTGAAGGCGCTGGGGGTGTTTAGCCTAAAGAAGGAAACACTCAGGCAGGATATTATGATGATGTCTCATCTCCAAAGAACCTCCATGGGGGCTAGATGTCAGATGTTTTGTGGGCCCCAAGGGGCAGGGAAGACAGAGAGACTAATTTTAGCTTAGTATGAGGGAGAACTTTCTGAGCATGAAAAATGTCTGACAGTGGAATGAGATGCTTGGGGTGGGAATAGTCTATTGCAGAAGAAACTGAAGCAAACAAAATGAAGTGCTGGGTGGGGGAGTTTAACTATCACTTCTGCCTCAGTCCTCTCCCTAGAAGGTCTCAGGACACAGGAGAGAGATTTTTGATGGGGGCATGGCTGGTCTGTGCAGGGAGAAGGCTTAGGAGGAAGGCTGGTCCATTTGCTCTGGAGACAAGATGGGGCAAGGGATGGGGGGGTGGGGGCTGAACTGCCTTGAAGGTGAACTTGCCTCCCAGGCTCACCCTCTGTTCCAGGCTCAGGATGTGTTCGCGGTCCAGCTGGCTCTGGTGGATGGAGGCGGCCAGGGCCAGGTGGGAGGCCTCCACCTCCTTGTTGAGGACGGCCACAATGTTCTCGAACACGCACAGCTTCCCTTCCAGCTCCGTCAGGAGCTTCTCCTTCATGAAGTGCTGCAGGGCCAGCTCCTCCTGGCTCTCGGAGCAGGGGGCCCGATAGCAGTCCACCTCCAGGTCCCCGGCCACCTCCACGGCCCCCTGCAGCTGCAGGTCCGACAGGTTCCGTTCCAGGGCTATGGGCCCGTACCCCAGGCCAGAGCCCAGCTGGGCCTTCCACTGCTTCATGAACCCCAACAGCAGGTTCAGGTGGGCAGCCTGGGAGGTGACCTCATGCTCCTCCATGAACTTTGGGCTTCCCTGCCGAGACAGTGGGGCTGATCAGCGAAAACTGAGGAGGGGTAGGGAGCACCAGGGAGCCAAGGAGAGCCCTGCCATCAGCGGTTACCAAGGGAGGTCACATCCATTCACCCAGCAATGGGAAGTTCACAGCAAGAGGGAGGTGGAGAAGGGCCCTGGCCTTAGGCACGCCCATGGCGAGCCACGTGTACTCCATCTTCCAGAGCAACAGTTCTGTCCTGCCCTCGAGCCCACTCATGATTCAGGACCATGGAGAGAGGCACAGTGGTTGGGGGCAGTGGGGAGGGGAGGGTCTTTTTTGTGATGCACTGCAATGCTCAAGTGAGACATTAAGAAGAACTCCCCTGAGCACAAAGATGATTTACTAGTGATTTTGTGGCTTGTAAGCCACATAAGGTACATCCAGAGCAGCAGCTGGATGTTGGGGGAACACCCGAGAGGCTGAGCGAGGAGGTCTGAGACTGCAGTGTACAGACCTCCTTTCTCTCACCTAGATACTTACCTTGAAGGAGCAGCCAACACCTGCAAAGGGGCACCCAACTCCAGCCTCAGCCACCTCGGGGCGATCCTGGAAATAAGCACCACGTCACTGGACGTTGCGGGGGTCCCGGTAGCACTGGGGAGTCTGTGAAGCACCGATATCCACCAGGCAGGGGCTGGGCTGGGCCACGAAGCTTTGCACATGCTCTTTGTCCTGCCTGGCTGATTTCTTTCCACCCTTCAAGCTTTAGCCCTTCTGTGACCCTCCTTCAAAACGAGACCAGAGCTCCTGCTGTGATCCTGGGAAGCACTGCCACCCCTCTTGCTGGGACGGGTTCCTCCCAACTCACTCTTTGGTTGCCCCCACTGGTCTGGGAGCTCCCCGAGGGTCCCAAACAAGCAACTTGGCAATACTGTCAACCTATGTGTAGGTCTGAGGAGTTTGGAACAACACTTGGGGATGGCAGGGTAGGTTTTCTGTTCCCATGTGATTGATGAAGAAACTGAGGCTCACGGAGGGGAAGGGATTTACTCTAGGAGGAACAGCCAGGAAGCAGCAGAGCTCCAGGGCCCTTCCCACCCCGTCTCTTGTTGTCGTTCAGCCGCTGAGCCGTGTCGGACTCATTCTGACCCCACGCACTGCAGCACGCCAGGCTTCCCTGTCCTTCACTATCTCCCAGAATTTGCTCAAACTCATGTCCATTGAGTTGGTGATGCCACCTCTGTCTCTTACTAAAAGTAAACCCAGGAGAGACTGGGAGGACACTTTTTTTTTTCCAAAACATATCTCTATAAAGGCCTTATATACAGAATATATAAAGAACTCTTACAATTCAATAATAAGACAGACAGCCTAACACAAAATGGGTAAAATACTGAACAGATACTTCATGAAAGCAGAGACATAAATGACAAGCCTATGAAAGTAAGTTCATCATCAGCAGTCATCAGAGAAATGAAAACTGTTATAAAATGCCACTGTTCGCTCACTAAATGGCTAACATTTAAAAAGAATGGCAATACCAAGCTTTGGGGAGAATGTGGAGGAACTGAAAAACGCTTGTAGGTTGCTCACGGGAATATAAAACGGTACAGATGCTTTGGGACAAAATATGCAAGTATCTCATAAAGTGAAATCATAAAGTAACTTACAGACCATGCTTACCAAGCTAGCAGATAACCCACACATTCCACTCCTAGGGATTTACCCAAGAGAAACTGAAAATGTTTCCGTGTGTGTATGCAAATGTCCAGGCAACTTTACTCATAACAGGCCCACGCTGGAGGATATCCAAGTTTTCATCTGCTGGTAGATGGGTGAACAGTGTGCTGTGTCTGTACCTGAGGACACTTACTACTCAGCAACTGGATGGACTAAATTACTAACGTGTGCGATAACAGAGGGGCCTTGAAACATTCTGCCAAATGAAGAGCCAAACACGGAAGACCGCATACTAGAAATCTGTTCCAAGTTAAGTTTTTCTTCTGATATTAAAAACAAATTTTTTTGGCTTTACCATGCAGCATGTGGGATCGCAGGTGCCCGACCAGGGATCAAACCTGTGCCCCCTGCACTGGAAGTGCGGAGTCTGAACCACTGGCCCATCAGGGAAGTCCCTAGGATTTCATTCTCATGAGATTCTAGAAAAGGCCAAACCATGAACAGAAAGTAGATCAGTGGCTGTCTGGGGCTGCAGCTGGGGGAGACTGATGAGCCAGAGGCACAAGGAAGCTTTTATCTGGTGCAGAAACATTCATGTTCTTCACTGCAGGTCACAGATTGCAGGTATTTACCGGCATCCATCAATCTGTACACTTAAAATGAGTGAATTTTATTACACATAAATAATATCTTGACTTTCCAAGAGCTTTGTCGTTGTTTTTAAGAATCACCTCTCGGGGTGACGTGAGGGGAGATCTGGACGGGAGGAGGGGAGGGCAGAAGTCTTTGGGCTGAGCAAATACAAAGTCACACTAGTCATCATTCTGTAAAAGTTAAAACAGCTAGATCTGTGGGCTTCATGAGACAGCTGGACTGGAACGCAGAGCACGCCCAGCACAGCGGTGCCCCATGGCCTCAGGCTCCAGGCACAAGATGTTCCCAACCAGGAACAGAAAACAGATGTTTTCCGGGAGGGAGGCAGCCTTGGCAGGGAGACCAGGCGGGTTTTGCAAAGTGCCCTGTGATGCAGCTTCTCCCAGCAGGTAGCTCCCTGATGTGCGGGGAGGGTGGAGGACCCGAGGCGGATGAGGACCTGTTGATGGATGAGGGTGACCGCTCAGGCCCTGCAACTCCCTCCAAGCCCGCGATGCGAATCCTCTGCGGCTTTAAGAATCTACTGCGCTCGCAGTGAGAGGCAGAGGGAGGTAAGCAGATAAGAGAAGACTAGCGGCGGGGTTCCAGAATCGCACTGGTGGCGGGGCGCGCGCTCCTCTGGCGGCTGAGCCTCGCGGTGCTGTGTCTGTGCAGTGAAAGCCCCTGCAGACGGGCAAGCGCGTGTGCACGGAGCAGGCCTCCCTGTTACCACGTGTGGCGGAGGCGGCTGGGGCCAGTCACCCACAGCAGGCAGAGGAGAGGCGGCTGGGGCCAGNCTTCCAGAAGCTGCCTGCGTTCCTGGGCTCATGGTCCCTCCCTCCAGAGTCAGAGCCAGCAGCGGAGCATCTTCCAGCTTCTCTCTGATTCTACCTCTCTTGTCTTCCTCTTTTGAGGACCCTTGTGATTACAATGAGCTCACCAAACAACCCAGAGTCATCTCCCCATCACAAGATCCTTAATTTAGTAACATCTGCAAAGTACAAAGACCCTTTCGCCATTGTCATGGGCAGAGTGGTGTCCGTGCGTGTGTGTAGTAAGTCGCTTCAGTGGTGTCCGTCTGTTTGTGACCCTATGAACTGCAGCCCACCAGGCTCCTCTGACCATGGGAGTCTCTAGGCAAGAATACTGGAGTGGGTTGCCATGCCCTCCTCCAGGGGATCTTCCCCACCCAGGGACTGAACCTGGGGCCCTTATGTCTCCTGCACTGGCAGGCAGGTTCTTCACCCCTAGGGCCACTTGGGAAGCCTGAGCAGTCTCTCCCACCCCAAATCCTCATGTGGAAGTCCTAACCCCCCTGGACGTGGCTGTGTTTGGAGACAGGGTCTTTTTTCTTTTTTTTTTAATTACATTAAATTAAATTGCTTTAGTTTTTGGCTGCTTGATCCTAGTTCTTAGTTTTTTGGCTGTGGGCTCTTATTAGTTCCACGACCAGGGATTGAACCTGTGCCCCCTGCATTGGGAGCTCTGAGTCTTAACCACTGGATTACCTGGGAAGTCCCCGGAGATGTGGTCTTTAAAGAGGTGATTAAGTTAGAATGAGGTCACTGGGAGGGGCCCTGCTCCAGTGTGACGGGGTTCCTTACAAGAACAGGAAACAGGGTACAGACTTTCAGAGGGAAGAGGCTGCGAAGACGCCGGGAGAAGACGGCATCCACCAGCCAAGGAGAGAGGCCTCAGAAGAAACTGACTCGGCCTGAACTTGCCTCTGAAACTGCGAGGAGATCAATCTCTGTTGTTTCCACCGCCCAGTCTGTGGTCCCTTGTTACTGCAGCCCGAGCAGACTAATGCAGTCACGTAAGGTGACATATTCACAGGTCCCGGGGATTAACATGTGGACGGCTTTGGGGAGCATGATTCTGCCTTACACACACTCAGTTTAGCCCTGATGAGCAGTAGCGGACCTGCTATTACCGTAATTATTCCTGTGGATGAAGCACTGTCCTTGGGACATCTTTTTCCTCCCCCTAATGGCTGTCACATACATGCATCTCACTGAATCTTCACACCTCAAACTCGTAGTAATTCTACAAAACCCTGCTTTCCCCACTGGGTTTCCTCAGGGGCTGGCAGATGTGAGGAACATCCCTACGTGCACGTGTATTTACATAGGACCAAAGCATTTTTGCAAACTACCTCCTAGGATCCCTGCAGTAATCCTTCAAGGCAGGCAAGGCGGAGCTGGTTTCACCTGAACACACGTGGGAGACCCGGGCGAGTGGCTCAGTCTGGGTCACGCGGAGCTTGTACAAGTGAGGAGCCCGCTGTCCTGCAGGCACGAGCCCTTCTCTGCCCCCATGTGAGCACAGCCCTGCTGGGTCTCCCAGGACCACCCGGAAGAGGCTGGGGCTCTGAAGTTCTGCCTCTCTCATGGAGGTGACGAAGCTGAAGGTCAGGGAAGGCCGCTGACTTATAGGAGACAATGCAAGTTTGGGGCCAAGCCGTGGTGGGGGCCAGGCGCCTGGGATCCACATCCAGGGCCCTTCCGCCGTCCCGGGGAAAGAGGGGTGGCTCATCTGAAGGCAGGGACCTAGGGCGCTAGCCAGCTGGGGCTGCGGGGGAAGAACAGGGCTTCCATCCTGGGCCAAGCCAGTGCCACAAGCGGCCCCTGTGTGAGCTGCCTCATGGCTGGCAAACCGCTAAAAATAAAACTTGCGGTGGAATTTCCTCTGAGGAGGAAACAGAGAAAACACAATCCCAGTCCTGAGCGAACACTTGTCCTTCTGTCCACGTCCGAGAAGTCGGGGGGGGGGTGTGGTGTTCCCGGCTGCCTACTGACCCAGGCCCTTTGTGACGGGGTCAGCGGAGGGCTGTCGGGGGGCCTCCACTTGAGGACGTGGGGGCCTCTGATGGGGGGGTTGTTAAGAGGATACTGGGGGCACAGGACAAGCCTCGGTGAAGCCACCACACAGAACAGAGAGGCTTGCAATGTGCTGGGCACCACCCACCCTGCTGTGCTGGGCACAGAGGCTAGCCAAGGTCTTTGAGGGCTGGACGGGGTGTTTTTGCATGGGTCTCAGCTAGTGCTGAGGGAGAGGTGCTCCACCAGGACAGGGTGGCCTGGTCCATCCGCCAGCTCCTACCCTCCTCTGTATCTGAGACATTTTCCTTCCTGGCGACCTCTGATCGGCTCAACTGCCACCTCCTCCAGGAAGTCCTGCCTGATTCTCCTTGTCGAAAGGAGTCTTGCCCATTCCTGTTTTCACAGTGCTTGCTGGATTCCAGCACTTAGGCTGACTGGGTATTTAAACCTGTGTAAACAAAACACTTGGGGTGATCCCCCCTCTGGAGGCAGCAGAGAGGTGCCAGGAGTCCCGGGGGCAGGAAGAGGGAGCCTGGCTCTGGCTCCCCTTTGCGGTAAGGCTGGTGCAGGCACGCCTCCTCCCCGAGCCTCCATAGGTCACCCACTGGAATCGCCACCGCCCATGACACAGGGTGTCACAGGACAGATGGGGTCACAGATGCAACCGCCAAGCTCAGAAGTGCGAGGGGCTCATTTTCCAGCTCATTTCCAGGGGCTTGGATTCAACAGACACAGAGAGGTGTGGAGGCTGAGGATGGACTCGAGAGGGACGTGGTCAGCGTCCTCCCACAGACGCAGGACGGCCTCAGGGCGCAGGGGGCTGACTGCCTTGCCTTTTGCGGCCCCGAGGGAGACAGACGTCAGCTCAGAACAAAGGGAGCGGACAACGGCACAGTAGTTAGTTCCTCATGGTGGTTTTGTGCAGTGATGAGCTGCCCGTCACTGAAGGGACACCAAGCCACTTGGCAGGAATCCAGTACAGAACGGAAATGGGACCAGACAGCTCGATCTCCGATCGTTTTCAGATTCTAGGGTAATTTGAGGCATTCTTGTAAGCCACTGGCAGCAGGGGTCAGCCTGCTTTGGACCTTCCCGAGTGGCCTCAGAGGGAAGAGACAAGAGCACCAGCCCGGTTCCCGGGGCCTGCGGCAGGCAGGACTGACTGCTATTTCCCAGCAGCCAGGCAGTCCCCGCCTCTCACTGTCACTCCTGTAGGAAGGTCATTCCAGGCCAGAACCAAGTCCCCACCTGGGTCAACAATCATCCTTTCATATCTGCTTCTGACACGAGCTAATCAGTCCAGGGCTCTGAGCGCGCCTCGGAGGGACACACCTCTAACGAAGCCAGAGGAGAAGGACAAACGTGAGCAGGTGGCGCAGAAGGGTCGCGAGGATGGGCACCTTGGGGCGCAGCGCAGCCGGCTTCCGGCCCAGCCCCTCACCCCACCTCCACTTCCCAGGTTTCCTCAGATGCACAGACTCAGACCCGCCATGTGTGCAAAGTGTTGATTTGTCATCAGCTGCTTTCCTTTGGTCAAAAGTCCCCCCAAAGTTCCCACTGGGTCAGGAACTGGTGGAGTCCCTGGTCTTTCCACTTGTGGCTCTGTGCAGGTGTCAGACCACTGGCTCACACCGCCCCCCAGCTTTCCACGGGGGTGCACCCCCCCCCAACGCTGTAGCCTGCTGAGCGCCTGTAACTGCATCATTAGAGTCACTCCACTTGGTCAAAGTTTCAAAGTGCACCCTGCAGGGCCCTAGGAATCCAGAGTCTCTGGGGGCTGGGGCAGGAGAAAGCAGTGGGGTAAACCGCAGGGCCAGAGGTCCAGGCTCCCCTTCTGCTTTCATCTGATTTCACACCGACAAAGATGAAAAAATTAGAACTACTGAATTGGGAGATATTAAAATATCTCTGCTTTATATTATCTAAGATTTACACAATGAATCTGGATTCATTCTGTTCAGAGGCAAGACTAAAGCAAACCAGAAACAAACGTCCTGATACCTTCAGGCAGGTAGTTGCCTTAGAAAGCAGATAGCCTATCCTTCCCTTTGGAGGGGGGAGCACGGAGGCCCAGTGAACACAGAGATGCCCTATTAGGGAGGTTTGGGAAGTTATTCCAGCAGTGTTAATCCTATTAGCTCTACCATGTGGTAGAGTATAAAGTTCCGGGAAAATGCACTAGATCCTTATGGTTCCCTTGAGGGTCTGTGGGGGAGAAGGCTGCTGAAGAGAAGAGAGGAAAGCCCTCAAAACCAGCTCTGGTGGGACAGATGTCCCCCTGACTCTCTGGAGGAGAGGGGGCTGGAGCGGAGAAGGGGGAGGAGGCATGGAGACCTGCCTGCCTCTCGTTCCACAGCGGGAGGGAGAGAGCCCCGACAGCCAGTGACCGGCAATGGGACATCGCCAGTACTGAAAAGGCCCTGTCCAAGCCACTCCAGTCCTCTTGCCTGGAAAATCCCATGGATGGAGGAGCCTGGTAGGCTGCAGTCCATGGGGTCGCGAAGAGTCTGACACGGCTGAGCGACTTCACTTTCACTTTTCACTTTTATGCATTGGAGAAGGAAATGGCAACCCACTCCAGTGTTCTTGCCTGGAGAATCCCAGGGATGGGGTTGCACAGAGTCGGACACGACTGAAGTGACTTAGCAGTAAGGCAGCGTCTTCATTTCACAGGCAGACACAGAGCAGCCATCTCAGCTGTGTCATCCTTGACACCAGGCTCCTGATCCCCCCTACCCTCACCCAGGGACACGATTTGGCCAAGGGTACAGCTTTGGTCCAAAGGAGCTGGGCGCCTCGCAGTGTAGTCAGCTCGGGTGTGGAGCTGGGGAGACCGTGGTCACTGGGGAGCTTTGCGGTGAGAATCCCCAGTGAGTGGGCCCCATGTGTAAGAAAAGGGGGTCAGATTTAGAGCCTGGGTTCCTAAAGCTCTGGATTCACAGACCAGTACCAGCTTTGTTTGCTTCTTAAACCAGGAGATCAACATAAAGACTGTTGTTTTTTAATTTTACCCCAAAATAGGCTTTACCCCCAATTCTATCATCTATCATGATCATTTCCTTTATACAAAGATGCACATGGGAAGGGCATCGTCTCAGAGTAAAGGGTGATTCTATAAATGGAAAGAATTTAGTTTTGTAAGAAAAAGTCATGACAATTTTCTTTCTTTCTTTCTTTCTGTTTTTAACCACTTTTGTCCCGAGCTGGTTTGGGAACAAACCACGGTTGGTTGCCTTGTGGGCACCTCTGGGCTGGACAGATGGCCCACAAGGGTCTCTCCAGCTCAGAAGGGCCAGGGCTCTAAACGGTGCCTGAGGATGTTGTTTCGCCCCTCTTACTCCTGGGAAGCACAGCTTGGGGAAGCCGGAGAAGCGAGCTGAGGCTGGCCTGACCCGGTCTGAGAGCAAACAGGGTCAGAAAGAGCTGTCTGCACCAGGCGTTGGCGAACTCTTTCTGGAAAGAGCCAGAGAGGGAATATTTGGGCTGGAAGGCCTCTCTTACACCTGTCCACCTCTGCAATCTCGGGCCAAGGCGGCCACGCGTAAGACACACACGACTGAACTGTGGCTGTGAACCAGTCCAACTCTATTCAGGGATCTGGAAGTTTGAAGTCTGGATCATTTTCTCGTGTCATAGAATCTCATCCCCCTGTTGACTTTTGAAAACCCTTTAAGTGTAAAAACCATTCTCAGCTCATGAGCTTACAAATAGGCAGCAGGCTGGGCCGGGCCCGAAGGCCGTGGTGTGTGGATCCCCGAATAGACAGCCACTCTCAGCCTGAACCTGCCACGGGTCAGCCAGGCGGAGTGGGACAAGTGGCTTTCCCACTGTGAACACCAGTCTCCTCGCCACCAACAGACGGAATTCAGCCTAGACTCAGGACAAGCAGGGAGGTGCCTGCCAGCCGAGACAAGGGACAATCCTCCCCGGCAGCGCCAGCTTACCTTCTCCTGAGACAGAAGGCTTCCTGGACTTTCAGACGGGGTGTCTTCCCCTTTGCATTTGGGACAGATCTGATCCTCACCATTCCTGGGAACACAAGCAGAAATGCCACTGAGCAAAGCCGTCGAGACTCCATGACACCAACCTCCACCCCAGAGCCCCAAAGGCCCGGGCCTTGCCCGGCATGGCAGCTGAGACCCATGAGCATATAGCTCCATCCCAGACCCACCATTCCCAAACCTCAAAAACACCGGGCACCCAACGTTTTCCCATAGCTTGCAGTGAGCTTCTCTGGCAGCCAAACCTGATTTGAACTGACCAGGCTATTAGACCTGTCTTATCCCACTTAGTATGAATATTTATATTTGCAGAAATATCACTGCTTGATGTTTGAATATAAGGTATGTCCCCAATCCCTGCTGGAAGAATTACAGAGTAATGTACTGAGTAGTTTTTCAAAAATCTGAAACACTTTTTTATTCCACAATACATCCGACCCTAGGGGTTCAGGTAAGGGATTGTGGGTGTGTACTATATTAGTTCTTTGCAGATTCCTCTGTTTTATTCTAGTCTCTTATTTTTAGTAATTAAAGATGACTACGGCCTCTCAGAATAAGAAGGGGCCTCCAAGAACGTCCAGCCTGAGATGCCTAGCCAGGAAGTGGGTGTCAGATTCTGAATGAGATGACACATGGGCCTACATGCTTTTGCAAAGTGATCTGACCCCCAGTGAGTACCCCAGGTCAGGCCCATTTCACAGGGAGGAGAACGAGGCCTCAGAGGACGTAGGGGTGGGCCGAGGTAGAGAGACACAGGCCAGACCTGCGTCTGGAACCCTTCCCTGCCCCTGCCACGTTTTGGAAGAAGAGGTAAGGAAACCACAAGCCACACTGCAAAAGCCTGAGGCGAGCCCAGGATGGTGAGACCAGTCAAGCTCAGCTCCCCGCCCCATCTGCCCTTTCTACCATCACCTCTCTCTTCTCTTTCTCTCAGCCTTCTCCTGTGTCAAAGCATTTGAACCTCTCAAGTTTGCCTCAGAAGTTTCCCACCTCCCTAACCTGGAAAGTCCCCAGCAAAGGTCACACTGGGGGTGCATGGCAGTTTAAGAACACCTCTGCCAGGAAACTGACCTCATCTCTCCATTAGGCCTCGTTGTCCTCATAGGATAACAGTGTCCACCTTTCCAAGGCTCTTCTGAAGACTGTCTGGCACACAGTTGGTACATAATACTTGCATAATAAGGTGGGATACTGATGATCATATTGATGTCACACCTCTCTGAATTATTTATAAATATAATATACACACTTTATATGGTGTATGTTATATATGTATATTTTTATACGTATGCCAAAAGCATGTATTATATATAAAGATGTGTTCGTTGCTCAATTGCATCTGACTCTTCCCAACCCCATGACCGTAGCCCACTAGGCTCCTCTGTCCATGGGATTCTCTGGGCAAGAATACTGGAGTGGGTTGCCAGGCCCTTCTCCAGGGGACCTTCCCAACCCAGGGATCGAAACCGGGTTTCCTGCACTGCAGGCAGATTCTTAACCTTCTGAGCCACCAGGGAAATATAAAGGTATTTGTATACAATATAAAATATAAAGGTATGTATATACAAATGTATAGGAGATTGTGAAGGACAGGGAAGCCTGGTGTGGTGCAGTCCATGGGGTCGCAAAGAGTTGGACACGACTTAGCAGCTGAATAAGGACAATATACACATATAAATATATAATACATGAACATACAATAATATACTAGATACTTTTGTCCCCTTTAGAAGAGTTCTCAGCAGTCTGAGATGATGGGTGAGACTGTGGAAGGAGATACATCTGTACAGCAGTTTGTCATTTACCCAGGAGTTTACAGATAAATTCCCTATTATAAGAATCTTTTGGAATGTTATTGACTGGGCCTTGTAATAATCCTGGGAGGTAGAAAATCACTTTACAGGCATTTTATTGACAAGGGCGCTGAGGTTTTGGGACGTTAAGCCATGCGCACAAGCCACATAGTAAGTGAGTTAGCCCAGGTGGGCTCAGAGGCTCTGCCTCCCTCGACGGCCCTCCGCAGAGGGTGCGGAGGGCTTTCTGTGTCTCCTCCTTCCGCCAGAAGTCAGACGGGGCGGTATCGGGGAAGCTGAGGACAGAGAGATGCAGGCACCTGCCTGAGAGCCGGGGTCCTCTCGCCCTCGCCTCCCATCAGGAGTCCCTCCCCGGTGCCTCCTCCCCACCCACCCCTTCTCCTCCGACCCCTCACCTCGCGTTCTCAGAGAGACAGACAGCGCAGCAGGCAGGCCCGGGCTCTGGGGGGTCCTGGCAGGCGGTGGGGGGGCACCCAAAGGGGAACTCATTCTCATCGGGGGCCGGGCGGGGGCTGCTGGCCGAGCCAGAGGCCATCCCGGGGTCCCAGGTGGGCCCGGGGGTGGAGGGCCTGGTCCAAGCTCCTCGGGGCAGGGGCCCAGCCCCGCGGTCTGTGCTGGGAGAAGAGGTGCGCTCTGCTGGGCTACCCGCTCTGATACGCGGGCGGCTGATGCCTTTATCTTCTCGCTGGCTTGTACGGTTCGACGTCACTGCTGAGTCACAGCAGGGATGAGACAGGAATTACCCTTTGTGGTGCAAAAAATCCCCTGGATGGTGACTGCAAGCTCCAGGAGCGTCCAGTCATTCTTTCGAGTGAGAGGGAGGTGAAGAGCAAGTCAGACAGAGAGAAGAACCGCATCGCGGACTTTCAGGGACGGCAGTTCAGAGTTTCCCCTGTCGGGGGGGACCTCAGGCTGCCGCTGGCTTCCTCCACTTCCTCCCCAGGGCCAGGGGCAGAGAGAGCTCCAGTCCCTGACTCGTCTGTATTCCCTGGGTCCTCCGAGCAGTCTGGGATTCTCGGTGGGGGTGATCACCACTCCAGTGGAAATCCCCAGGGTTCTGGAGGCAGGTCCAAAAATGAAAGTTCCATGCGTATGAGCTCTGCCCCATCCAGAGGAGGTGAAAGTCACTTCCTCACAGTGGGTCTCGGTTACCCTATCTGTAAAAAATTAAAAAAGGAATTGCAACAGGGCGTCTCCAAGTCTTCTGTGGGCACTAAAATTCCAGGACCCCATGGCCAAGGTAACCAGGGGCAGCAGGAAGGCCCCTGATGGCCCCAGCCCTGCCCAGGGCATTCTTCATCAGCACGGTGATGACACCATGGACTGCTCAGGGCCCTACCCCCACGGCCCCACGCAGGAAATCATAGGTGGCCACAGACTCGGGTCAGGCACCACCACTTCCTGGCACTGAGGAGAACAAAGGTCTAAATAAATATAAGGTCATGGAGACGTGGTCTCAGCAGTCAAGTGGGAGGCAGATCCTCGGCAGTGTAGGAAGCGTGGCTCCTGGCACACTTCCTGTGCCCTGGGCAGCATTCCTTAGAGCCAGCTGTTGGGAATTTCGCAGGCACGGAAAGGCACAGAGAAGCAAGATGCCTGGTCTGAAGTCACACTGCACCCGTGGCAGAGTACGATCAGGGCCAGGTCTGTGCGACTCCAAGCTCTGTGTTCTTCTTCCCATTCAGGAGAGGCGAGAGCAAGGCAGCGTGGAGCCTGCAGAGCCCAGAACGGAGGTCTGAGCTTCTAGCCTCTGTTTTCTCATCTATCAAATGGAAAAGACGGGCTTCCCCGGGGGCTCAGACGGACAAGAAGCCACCTGCAATACAGGAGACCTGGGTTCGATCCCTGGGTTGGGAGGATCCCCCGGAGAAGGGCATGGCAACCCACTCCAGTGTTCTTGCCTGGAGAACCCCCATGGACAGAGGAGCCTGGTGGCCTGCAGTCCATGGGGTCACAAAGAGTCGGACATGACGGGGCAACTGAGCGCAGCACCCACGGAAAAGACAGTCGATCACTCCACATCTTTCTGTCCCGCGGGTGCTATCAGAGCTCATGCCAACTTTCACAGCAGTTTCAAATCATGGGCTTTGAGGTCTGGCAGATCTCAGTTGGGGTCCTGAGTCCAACACTCACTAGCTCTGGGTCCTGGGGCAAGGTCAGTAACTTCTCTGCACCTCAGTTTCTGCATCTGCAAAATGGGGATAATATTAATACCTGCCTCACCTGACTGTCGAAATAACCAGATGAGATTGTGGGTGAAAGTGTGGCATGGTGCACAGCGCAAGTCAAGTGCTCAGAAGGCTTTGGTATTGATGGCGTGGCCCTTCCAGCTCCTCAAGATCAGGAAAAAAGATTAAAATGGTAAATTATGCTTATATATATAGTGTTTTCACATTCATCAACTTTAGTTGAGCCTCACAAGTGGGCAAGGTAGGTCAGATGTTATCCTCTGAGTCTAGTAAATTCAACTGCCCACCTTCCCTGGAACGATGCTGAGTCTGCAAGGGGTTGCTGGCAAAAAGGGCAAGGCATCCTTCGCTACTGTTGCAGCGGAAATCAGGTTCTCCAGCTTCACCTGGGCCAGCCCTGGCCTGGCCCTTTCAGCAAATGACTTTGAAGGTTGCTTCAGAGAAAGACTGTCCAAAAGCCACTCACTTAACCATACACCCCAAACCTGCCAACTGCTCTGCATCCCCAACTATTCCCTCCTTCCCCTGGTTAGGCACAGGCATCCCAGATTTCCCTCTCTGCCCAAGTTCTTGGGTCCCTTTCTCTCTCCTCTGCCTTCACTGCCTCCCAGCTCCTTCCTATTGGCCTCAACATATGCCCAAGCTGCTCGAATGATTAAAAGTGAGAAGTAGCAGGCGCCCGTGGTAAGTGTTTTTACAGGCACATCTCATCTCATCTTCACCTGAACCCTATGAGGCAGGTATTGTCACCTTCATCCCCACTTTACTGAGGCTCCAAGAAGTTGAGTGACTTGCCTAAGGGCTCACAGATACTGAATGGGGACTCCGGATCCCTGTGTTCTAACCACACGCGGTGCTTTAAAACGCTTGCCACATTCCTCCCCAGCATCTACACGTTCTCCTCAGTTGAAGAGAACTTTTATAAAATACTGTCTACACGGGCGCTCCGCTTCCTCACTCCAATCGAGGCTGTCCGATGCCCGGGGCTTGTCTATCCACCTAGTCCCGAGGCCAGCCCATGCCACGCCTCCGGGCTCCTCCTCTCTAATTCCCTTCCTTGCTGGGGCTTCCCGCACCCCTTCCGTGCTTCCCCCCACTCCAACCCCGCACTTCTCCGGCTGCTCCTCGTCTCCTTGACCCCCTTCTCTTCCAAGGATTCTCCGCGCTGCGCACTCGCGTCTCCCTAGCCTTCTCTTCGTCTCTCGGGGCGCAGCTGGACCAGACCACTTCCTCCCGGGAGTCCCCGTGGGCTGCCCCAGGGATGGGTGGACTCCTGGCTCTGCGATCCCACTGCGCCCCGCCACCGGAGCCCAGTCCCCGCGGCCTGGCTCCGGGAGGCCAGAGGGCCTGTTCGAGCCCCCCAGCCCGGTTCGTGCGTCCCCCCCGAGGGCGGGCGACTGCAGTCTCCACCCGCCGCATCTGGAGATGCGTGCGTAGCGCTGCGAGCCGACCAGGGCAAGGGCTAGTCCAGGATGAGCGACCGCAGAGCAGCCGCCGGGCCCGCGGGCAGGGCAGGGGGCAGCGAGTCCCGGGCAGGGCTCGGCTCGATGGGGAAACCGAGGCTCGGGGTGGGATCCGCGGTGTGGCAGTCTGTTTTTGCACCGAAAACCGACCTGCTTCCGTTCTCCTTCTCCCCGCACGAGTTCATGGCACACGTGTGGGACTCAGTATGAAGTATTCGCGGAATAAACGAATGCAGACTTGGGACCCGAACTACCCTGGCCCCTGCCTGCCTGCAGCCCCTTGTTGCGGGGGGCTGGCGGGGGTGCGGCGAGCAGTAGCGACACCCGCGTCTTAGCCCTCTCGGGTTCCTGCGGAGATCCTAGCTCAGCCCTTACTGAGTTGGACGCAATCAGCCAAGAGATGTACAAAGCGGTTGCGAGCGCTCGGCGCTTCCACAAAACTGGGTGTTTCCAGGAACGGAGACTAGTTTTGTCTAAACACACACACGCGCGCGCACGATCACTTATTCCCTATGAACTTTGTATCAATTAAAATAATTATGGTATTTAGCGTTGGGATAGAATTTTTGTTTAAATATACCACCTTTGTTTTTGCGAATTTGATAAAGGCCCCTCCATCAATATATGCAGGACTGTTAGCTGAGGACCGAGTGAGCCTGCCTGCTTTGCTGGTTTTGTTTTCCTTACTCAGAGCCATCCATTATATTCTCTATGTATTAGGGTCTCATTTTTTTTTTTTTTTGTCTTGACACCCAACTGGAGTTGGGAACTGTGTTACTTCTTTGGTTTGTTTTTAACCTGGGATGTGTTTAAGCCTCTAGCTCACCTGGGGCGAAACTCCCAACTTCTGCTGATGCTGCAGGACCATCCCCCTGGAGAAAGGAGGGCCTCCAGTCTGTCCTGGAGGGGAGACAGCTGCCTGCAGACAAGCTGAGGGTCTAAGGGGCCTCCAGGCCGGCAATCTGTGGGACATTGACCAGAGGTGGCTTCTGTGGTCACTCAATTCTAAGAGAAAAGGATTTAGAGCTTGGAGTCTCTGATTTTAAAACTCCTTGATTCCCAGTGCAATCCGTGAAGGCTTTGGGGCCTCTAAAAGCCGTTCTGTGGTCCCACCTCTGTCCCACCCACCCCTTCCTCTCTGCCCCAAGCCAGCGTAAGTGAGCAGTCAACCTGACCTTACTCTCTTCATGTGCCACATCCTGTTTTCAGATTAATGAGCTCATTTGGTGGAAATTTACCAAGGGAAATAGTTTAATTTTGGAAAGTACCAAAAACTTATCTGTAGTCACTGGACTTATTTTGGGGGGCTCTTGAAATAGAGGGGGCATCACCAGGGGACCTCTGAGCCATCAGGGAGTGGCAAATTGAAAGCAGAGCCCAGTGAGGCTGAACGTGACTCAGAAAGGAATAAAAACCTTTTGGAGACCACTCATCTCTACCCAGCAGAAAAAAAAAAAAGTCCAAAAATAAGTTTAAGAAGAAAAGTAGTGCATGTGGCTAAGGCGTAAGATCTGGTGGCCACGACTGGGAACAAGAAGCACACACAGGGAAGGAGGGGGGTGACTGAGCCTCAGCCTGCCTCTCACATCCCTATCTGCTCTGCTTGTTCTAAGAGGCACCAGAAGGTTTCCGTTTTCCAGTCTTCCCCCAGTCCTTTAGCTGTCAGACTCTTGACCTTGAGCTTGGCTGCTAGCCTTGTAGCCTTTTAAGCTTGTGGCTCCTGTAGGGAGCTAAGGATTGAGTAGTTAGGAGGACTCTGGAAAATTAAAGTTTTTTGAGCCGTTCTGCATTGAAGATGGTAGAGCATGGATGACAAGTCCCCTGCGTGTCTCATCACCTCCTTGGCCCGCCCTGTTTCCTAGAGGAGAGACTTCTCATCCCTTCTAAGTGGTAGAACAGAAAAATGGTGAAAATTGACAAGGCGCTGACAATTTAGTACTGGAATGAAACTGTGTCTTCCTTCCCTCTGCATCCCGCCTCCCCTGAAACCTGTATAGGTGTTTTGGAGGATATATTTATATTTTGGAATGAGCCCTGGACTAGGGGTCAGGACATGTGTGTGTGTGTGTGTGTGTGTGTGTGTTTTTCTCCCTGTCACTAAAGCAGTTTTGGGGGAGAGTAGATGAATAAATGAATGTTTAAGCAATAATTCAACAAATTATAGTCCATAGTGTTGTTTTTGTTTTTAAAGTGGAAAATGACCTGGGTGGAATGCCGTGGGTTATCTCAAAACTTGTATTAGCTGTGAGACTGTCTTCAAATGCTTTTCCACCTGGAGCCCAAAGAAGCATGCTAAGTCGCCTCAGCTGTGTCCAACTTTCTGGTGAGCCCGTGGACTGTAGTCTGCCAGGCTCCTCTGTTCCTGGGATTCCCCAGGCAAGAATACCAGTGACTTGCCACGCCGTCCTCTTCGGGACCTTCCCCGCCCAGGGATCGAGTCCACGTCCCTTCTGTCTCCTGCACTGGCAGGCCAGTTCTTTGCCTCTAGTGGTGCATGGGAAGCCCAGAGCCCAAGCCTACAAAGCAGCTAGAAGCAGGGGCGTTCCGTTAAGCGAAGCAGACAGCTAGGAGTCTGTGCCCTGAGCATCCTGACCTCTAGGCTCTAGGAACATGGTTTAAAAATGGTGGATCCAACGAGTACTCCCAGATCTCAGAGGTGGAAACGGATTCTCTCCTGAGCTGGCTTGCCTCTGCGGTCCCAACGGTTCGAGCTTTTTTCCCCCAACAACTGAGCCTTTCCAGGTGTCATAGTCCTGATGGGCATCGGAGAAGGAAGAGATTACACTGCCAGGGTCATTAGCCTTCCAGGTGGTGGGAGGGCAGGACAAGATTGGAACCTAAGCATCTGGAGGACTGAGGTTGGCGGTCCTGGTAAAAATAGCAGTGACAATATCAGCAGTTACACTTGATTTAGCATCAGTTACCGTGACACTGCTCTCATTTCTGCGGTCCCAACGGTTCGAGCTTTTTTCCCCCAACAACTGAGCCTTTCCAGGTGTCATAGTCCTGCTGGGCATCGAAGAAGGAAGAGATTACATTGCCAGGGTCATTAGCCTTCCAGGTGGTGGGAGGGCAGGACAAGATTGGAACCTAAGCATTTGGAGGACTGAGGTTGGCGGTCCTGGTAAAAATAGCAGTGACAATATCAGCAGTTACACTTGATTTAGCATCAGTTACCGTGACACTGCTCTCATCTGAGCACATCATGTGCCTCGTTCCGTTTACTGATATCAATGAGAAGAGGTGCGAACACTGTTTTCTCCTTTCCAGAACCCAGGCCCCTGATTATAGCAGTAAATGAGGCAGACCCGGCTGCTGGTCTCATGACAGCTGGCTCCTAGAGGTGAATGCACCAGGTGTCCATTCTCCTAATGCCAGTCATTCATGCTGCTTCTGTTTGTGCGTGTGCGTGCGTGCGTGTGTGTGTGTGTATGTGTGGGCGGAGCTCAGTCGTGTCCAGCTCTTTGCCACCACGTGGATTGCAGCCTGCCAGGCTCCTTTGTCCATGGAATTTTCCAGGCAAGAATACTAGAGTGGGTTGCCATTTCCTATTCCGGAGGATCTTCCTGATTTAGGGATCGAACCCGCATCTCGTGTGTCTCCTGCACCGGCAGACAGATTCTTTATCACCATGTCACTGGGAAGCAGCAGAGTTGGATGTGACTGAGCGTATTAAATATATGCTGATTCCCTGACTAGGGATCAGACCTGTGCCCCCGCAGTGGAAGCGGAGTCTTAACCACTGGACTGCTAGGGACGGTCCTGTTTCTGTTTGTCAACCCTTGAAGCGGGGGGCCCAGAATGGGCTACTACGTCCTCTACTCATAAATGCCAGACATTCCCCTTCTTGCCCCTATATTCCTTCTTTTCAATGCCAGCTGCAGGCTTTGTCCTTGTCTTTAGTGAAAACACTTAGTGAACAGCTTTCCTGCTAACGTCTTCTATACCTCCTCTGAAAACTTCTGATTCCTGGACCAGGAAATTTAATTAGACAGATGATTACAGGTTATCAGTCACCTAGTATTGACAGATTAGAAGATCAAATGGTCCTGAGTTCCTCAACCCAAGTTAAGCACTTCCCCATGGTAACTCACACACAGCTGATGTCAACAACGAAATAATCTACCAAATGATCTTGTAAAACCAACCTTTAGCCTATAGGACACCTTCTTTGTTTTGATGTGATGATTTAAAATGTCTCAAGTTTCCTTCTGTTACTCTCCATCTTGTTCTTTCTATACTTGTTATAAGTAGCAATTTATAAACTATGCTTGTTTACAGGTTTTTTTTTCCTGTACCACTAGAATTTGTGAATTATATGAATATAAGAAATTAAATGAATTAAAGGTGTTAAAGTAAAGCTGTGTCTGATTTCTTTGTTGTCTTTTCCCCTGATTCAGCACAGAGGAGGCAATCAATAAACATTTGTTCAATCAATGGCTAATACTCAAGACACCATCCATGATCATTTTTACTTGAGGTCATAATCATCAATGATGACCTCACCATCGTCACAAAATATTATGTATCTTTGGCCTGATTTTTTAGG